AGCAGCAGAAATCAATAGAACTTAAGGAGTAGAAAATGGATTCTTCAATCTTGATGATAGCTAACCCAGAGTTCACAACAGCTAATGGAAGGTGCGCAAACACAAACAACTACAACAGTAAATCCCAGAGAAAGAAAGCATCACATTCAATCCATTTTTTGACTTATGAAAACCAAAAAATCCCAAAGAAGTGCTTTAAGTTTTTTGCTAAAATCAAAGGGAAAAAAATCAATTCCTAAGGAAATAGTAGCTAAACTTTTTGAATGTATTTTAGGGTTCTGAAAATCTGATGAGTGTGTATATGAGAATGAGTGAATGGCCTTCCTTTTATAGTGTATATCCAAAAATAGCATCAAAAGAATATTCTACCCTAAATTCCTTAGATAGTACAGCATATTTGATAGAGAATAATGGACAGCTCTCCATTCTCAACATCTTTTAAACTATTTTGGACAGCTGTATACTTCTAGAACCTTCTTTTTCCTAGATATTTTTTCTGAAAATCATTTTACGTTTCTTTTAGTTTAAATAGACCCTTACAAGTTTCTAATGATGTACAAATCAAACAAACAGGGACTGGGCCAGCAATTAACCGAAATAATAATCATGTAATAAAAAAATGCAAATGAATCCTACAATATTAAGCATTAGAAAACCTAAATTGAACTAACCATAAACATGAATCACACTGTGATGGAATCAATAGGAATTTCATGTAATGAAACTGGTAAAATATGCTAATTTATACTAATATAAGCAAGATGAACAAACGCATAAAACTGGAGCACTGAAAAACCCTAAGTCATGAAAACTGATCAAAAAAGAAAGGAAGAATAACCAAAGAAAGAATAGAAAATACCACCAAGACTCGTCTGAGACAACCACGAACTCGGAACAAGTTTCATGGGGGTAAAAATGAACCTAAACTAACATCAATCGATTGCTCTTATCAAGAGCAATTGACTGATGTAAGTCATGGGTCCAAAGAACCAACCTCGCATGCCCAAATAAGAAGCCAAAACGAAGCTAGGGTTCCAGAATTTGGATTTTAAAATTAATGAAGCAAGGGCAGGGGTTTCGGGAAATCGGCTATGGTTTAAATTTCAGAGGGGTGTGAGGAGTGTGGCATGTAGTTTTGGGGTGGTTTGGTCAATTTAGGGTTTGGGTATGATTTTCAGATCTGAAATTGATGGATTTGGGAGGTGATTTTGGGGAAATTGATAGTGGGATAGTGTTTGGTAGGGGCTCAGGATTACAGGGTGTAAATTTGGAGCGATTTGGTGAGAGTGAGGCAGAGCCGGCGAGGGAGTGAGAGGGTGGCTAGGTTTTAGTTTCTTGAGAGAGATGAGGGACTGAGGTAGGTTTTGGGGTAAGGGGGGAGGTCTGTTCGGACAGTATTATACAAAAGGGATGATCAGTTCTCAGTCGTTAGATTCATGGTGATCAACGGGTGGGATTAAGGAGGGGCAATACATGGTCGTTTTGGGGCTAAGGGGATTGGACCGAGTTTTATGGGATTGGGCTGGGTTTGAACGAAATTTTAACAATTAAACCGGGCCAATTTTAAAGATTGGCCCAATTTCAAAGAAACAAGACCAAATACATTTTCCTATTTTTCTTTTCTTTGTTTTTCCTTTTTCTTTTCTCTAATTAATTAAAATTCTAAATTAAATTCTAAATTAAGCTAATTATCTAATTATAATATTTACAAAAATTAGTTGATCCTAAATTAAACAGAAAAGATTACTAATCTAAAATTTAAAGCTAAAATGTAAAAATGAGCAATATTTTATGATTTTTTGTTTTAATAAAGCAAGTAATTAACTAATTAATCCTAAAATATGAACATAAAGTCTAATATGCAGTGCATGATGTTTTTGACATTTTTAGGGCATTTTCATAATTTTAATAAAAATTAAACGTGCACAAAAATGCAAATAATAAATAAAAATCCTATAAAATTGCAAACAATTGGGAGAAATCTATTTCTTTAATTTTGTAGGAGTATTTTGAATAGGGAAAAAATCACATGCTCACAGCTGCCCCTCTTTGCTCGGAAACACGAAGAGTTTTCGGGCAAAGATAAAATGAGCAACTAGGAGTGATTTTTGCCCGTTTGAAACTCCATGGGAAGAATTTTTTGGAAAAAGTCTGACCGAACCTTGATTCGAAGGTTGCCTACATATCCTTCGGAGGTCTGCTTGTTGAGCTTCTTATTACACTAAAATGAAAGATGAAAAACGAAACTAGCTAATCCTATCAACTATGAGTTACAAGATTCATATCTATAAACCTTCTAAAGCTTGATCTTGAGTCTTGGCTGGTTCTTCCTGTAGACTCTGATCTGAATCTTGATGCTCGTTAGCTGCAACCGCTGGTTCATTCTTCTTCATCTTTTCGGATCAAGGCGGGACATGCAAAATTTGTGATTTCAATCATATCTTAAGAAATCCGCATCTTTTCTCCGCTTCTACACTCAGAGTTCAGCTTATTTTCTTGTTTTCTTTTCTTTTATTTGGATTGAGACTTCTTCTTTTGGTCATCTCAAACCTCGTGCCTAATGGTAAAAACCTGTTCATACACCAAAACAAACAAACGAACAAAATTTTTCTGTCCCAGTTTTCACTAGGAAAATTTCATGAGTTATTGTAACAACAACTAAATTACTTCTTTATTGAAAGCAATAAAAACAGGATTGTGTATCCTTGAGAAAAAGAGATCAGGAAGTGGAGACCCTATATAAAAAATGAAATCAAATGGGGATCGGAGGCCCTAAGTTAGAAAGGTTACCAGGTTATGCGGGCATCAACTAGGGAGTGGGACCCAATACTAGAAAGGACTACCAGGTTCTGCTGGCAGAGTCATCGGGTTATGCCGAAAAAGTCCTCGGGTTATGCCAGAAAGGACTACCAGGTTATGCTGGCAGAGTCATCGGGTTATGCCGAAAAATTCATCGGGTTATGCCGGAAAAGTCATCGGGATATGCTGGAAAGGTCCTCGGGTTATGCTGGGAAAGGTCCTCAGGTTATGCCGGGAAAGTCATCGGGCTATGCTGGAAAGGTCCTCGGGTTATGCTGGGAAAGGTCCTCAGGTTATGCCGGGAAAGTCATCGGGCTATGCTGGAAAGGTCCTCTAGTTATGTCGGGAAAGTCATTGGGTTATGCCGGAAAGGTCCTCGGGTTATGCCGGAAAAGTCATCGGGTTATGCCAGAAAAGGTCCTCGGGTTATGCCGGAAAAGTCACTGAATTATGCCGGAAAGGTCCACGGGTTATGTCGGACAAGCCCTCGGGTTATGCCGGGAAAGTCATCGGGTTATGCCAGAAAAAGGTTATCGGGTTATGCTGGGATCAACTAGGGAGTGGGACCCTATACTAGAAAAGACTACCATGTTATGCTGGCAGCGACTAGGGAATGAGACCCTATGTTGGAAAAACGTAGCTAGAGATTGGAGACCCTATGCTACCATGATTTTGAATTTTTCTTCTTTTTTTAATTTCACTTTTCATTTTATTTAGGAGAATGAATGAAGAGTTTGAAAGAGACTTCCCTTTTCGGGTTAACGTTTGCTACATAACCGTTTTGGTTTCTGCGTACCTTGCTTTTATTGCACCTGCTTTTGCAAGGTTGTTTTGGACTGCACCTATTTTTCTGTATTCAAATCAAAGAACAATTTGTCAGTTTGAAACGGTGGTTGGTTTTGTGACCTTGATTGTTTCAATCGATTGATCTCGCCCCAGTTCTTTCAATAAAACCTCTATTGCTCGCTGGCTCTCTAGAAATTGGTTTCATTTCTAAAATCGGGGATCTGGACTTCCTCAAATTCCACATGACGATTGACCCATGCAGGGCTTAGCCTTTCTATCTTATTTTGCCTTTATGGGCACTTGACTTTGATTTCCTTTATTTTCAAAATTTTTTGACTCTAGAGCATCGGCCATCATGGCCAGTCGAGGTCGACTTGATGCACCTGCTGAGGCTGGGTGCTTTTCTTGAATTTTAGCTTTTGTAAAACAAAACCTTGTAAAACCAATCTTACCATCTTTTCTTTGTATTAGTTTCGGAGGAGAATTAGACCGAAAGGGAATCAAAGAAAAATAAACAACAGACAGGATAATGAATTCAAACTAGAAGTGTCCCTTTCGGGGAAAGGAAAGAAGGACTTATCTTGGGAGCACGCAGACCTCAATAGACATGACATGCTTCTTGGACTGGATACCCGATCTGTGCAAACCATCCAACTCTTGTAAACCCATCATAAATCATACCTCAAAACTGAGAAACCTTGCTAGGACTCTATCACTGCCGATGGTTGTAAGGGATTTCTTTTTCGATTAGTGGCGCCCTTTGCGGGTTTTCACCAACCGACCTCTCTTATTTCTCTTCTCATCGTCGTCTTATAGTGCTCTTTGTGAGTTTTCACTAACAAGACTCTCTCATTTTCAATTTCTCTGATCACCATCGCCTTACGGTGCCCATGTGGGTTTTCACAAATAAGACTCTCTCATTTTATTTCGCTCCTTTGATTGTATCAAATCCAAGTAACCAACATCCTCCCATTTTGAACGTCTTTGCCGATTGATTAGAAGGACTTTGAACAGGATTTAGGGTAAAAAGAATTTGGATTGAATTATAACTTTGGAACCTTTCAAGCGAACCGTCGCTGAACCATTATAAATCCTGCCCCAGTTTCAACTTTTGGAGAAATGTGGATTTTTGTTTTGGTGTGACTGAACCCCAGAGAGAGGCTGCCAATGTATCCTTTTGGAATCAAGTCGAACGAAGTTCAGGAAACTTTGTTTTTGATTTTCTTTTTGTTTTTGTTATTTTATTTTATTTTTATTTTTATTTTTTTTATTTTTTTACAACATTTCGGGTTCCAAAGAGGGTGATCAAAGAAAGGTAACCGGATCAAATGGTTTACAAAGGGTTAATAGTATTTGGATAGCGAGAATGAAAACCTTCGTCATTCCAATCGGAGAGTGTCAGTACCGCAGAAGGTTTAAACGTAATACCATTTGACCGCGTCTGCATTGATAGCTATTTCAGGGTCATTTCCTTCGATGTCTCCCAAGAACATTGCCCCTTTTGGCAACAATTTTCTTATAATGTACGGGCCCTTCCAGTTTGGAGCAAACATTCCTTTTGCTTCCTTATGATGCAGGAGAATACATCTCAAAATGAGTTGCCCCACTTCAAAGTTCACTTTCTTGTTGTTGGAACGGGTCATTCTTTGTTGATACAACTGCCCGTGGCAAACTGCGACCATCAGCTTTTCATCAATCAGGGTTAACTGTTCTAGATGGGTCTTGAACCATTCATTGTCCTCTATCTCAACTTCAACGATGATTCGAAGAGATGGAATTTCAACTTCTGTGGGTATTACGGCTTTAGTGCCATAAACCAATAGATAGGGTGTTTCCCCAACTGATGTGCGCAAAGTGGTGTGTTATCCTAACAATGCAAAAGTAAACTTTTCATGCCATTGTCTAGAACTTTGAATCATTTTCCTGAGGATCTTTTTGATGTTTTTGTTTGCTGCTTCAACAACGCCATTAGCTTTAGGGAAATAAGGGGTAGAATTCCGATGTGTGATCTTAAATTATTCGCATACCTTCCTCATCAAATGACTATTCAAATTTGCAGCATTGTCCGTAATGATAGTTTTAGGAATACCATAACGACAGATAATGTTGGAATACACAAAGTCCACCACTACTTTCTTGGTGATGGCTTCGAGAGTGACTGTTTCAACCCACTTTGTGAAATAGTCTATGGCAACTAAGATGAATCTATGCCCATTTGAAGCTTTTAGCTTGATTGGCTAATGACATCCATACCCCAAGCAACAAACGACTATGGTGCTGACATAGGATGCAATTCTGAATGCGGTGCATGAATCAAGTCACCGTGTACCTAACACTGATGACACTTTCAGACAAAACTGAAGCAATCATTTTCCATGGTCAACCAGTAATAACCTGCCCAAAGGATTTTCTTTTCAAGGACGTATCCATTCATATGGGGTCCACACACTCCTACATGCACTTCATTCATGATTCTTTCAGCCTCTTGGGCATCCACACATCTTAAAAGGTTCATATTTGGAGTCCTTTTATACAAGACTTCTCCGCTCAAGAAGAAACTGCTGGCAAGCCTTCTAATGGTTCTTTTTTGATCTCTGCTAGCTTGTTCAGGATATTCCTTTGTTTTCAAGAATCTTTTGATATCATGATATTATGGCTGAACATCTGGTTCTATCTCTACTGCATTACAATAACCATGTCTTTCTCAAATTTGGATTTCCAGTGGGTCAATGTGGACATTGCCTAGATATGGTAGCATTGAGGCCAAAGTAGCTAGTGCATCGGCTGACTCATTGTGAAACCGAGGAATGTATCTGAACTCGACATATTTGAATCGCTTGCTAAGATCTTCCACATGTTGCATGTATGGAATAATCTTGATATCCCAAGTTTCCCATTCACCTTGAGCTTGTCGAAATTCTTCCACATCCTGATCGATTTCCATGTTCATGCCCATGATGCAGGATTCATACTCGGTAGTGTTGTTCGTATAGAAAAACCAAAGCCAGGCTATGGCTGGAAAATGCTGACCAATGGGCGAAATCAAAATTGCCCCAATCCCGACACCTTTTGCATCCATAGCTCCATCGAAGAACATTTTCCAAGCATTGGTGTCTTCTGGAATTACCCCAATTGAATTTACTTCCTCATCCAAAAAGTAAATACTCAGAAGCTGATATTCATCATCAATAGGATTTTCCACTAGGTGATCCACCAAGGTTTGAGCTTTCATTGTCGTGCGGGTGACATAGACTATGTCAAACTCGGTAAGCAGGATTTGCCATTTTGCTAGCCTTTCGGTGGGCATCAGCTTTTGGAATATGTACTTCAAAGGATCCAATCTGGTTATGAGATAGGTGGTATAAGCCAACAAGTAATGCCTAAGCTCCTGAGTGAGCCAAGTTAGGGCGCAACAAGTTCTTTCCAACAAAGTGTACTTGTCTTCATAACAAGTGAACTTCTTGCTCAAATAGTATATGGCTTGTTCTTTCTTCCCGATCACATAATGTTGCCCGAGAACACACCCAAAAGAATTCTCCAACATTTTCTAGTACATGAACAAAGGCCTTCCAGGCTTGGATGGGACCAACACTGGCTGATTCGACAGATATTCTTTGATTTTGTCAAAAGCTTCCTGACACTCATCTGTCCATCTAATCACTGCATCTTTCTTCAACAGCTTAAATATGGGCTCACACGTGGAAGTCAACTGAGCAATGAACCTGCTGATGTAATTTAACCTGCCTAGTAGGCTCATAACCTCTTTCTTGGTTCTTGGAGGGGGCAATTCCCGAATAGACTTTATCTTTGTTGGATCTAGCTCGATGCCCCTCTAACTGACTAAAAATCCTAACAGCTTCCCAGATGGAACTCCGAACGCGCATTTAGCTGGATTTAATTTCAAGTCATACTTACGCATGCGCTCAAAAAACCTTCTCAAATCTCTCACATGGTCGTCCTGCGTTCTGGATTTGATGATCACATCATCTACGTACACCTCAATTTCCTGGTGCATCATGTCATGAAAGATAGCAGTCATAACTCTCATGTACTAGAATTCCTCAAACCAAATGGCATGACCCTGTAATAGTAAGTACCCCAAGGTATGGTGAAAGTCGTCTTTTCTGTGTCTTCCTCATCCATCAGAACCTGATGATACCCAGCATAACAATCCACAAAAGACTATATCTCATGTTTGGCACAGTTGTCAACAAGGATGTGGATGTTTGGTAATGGAAAGTTGTCCTTGGGACTTGCTTTGTTCAAATCCTGATAATCAACACACACTCGGGTTTTCCCATCTTTTTTTGGCATTGGGACCACATTAGCCAACCATGTGGTGCATCGAACCACTCGAATCACACCGACTTTTAACTGTTTCGTGATTTCTTCTTTGATCTTGTCACTGATGTCTGTTTTAAACTTTCTCTATTTTTGTTGGACAGGGGGATAACTGGGGTAAGTTGGCAATTTGTGCACCACTAAATCAACACTTAGTCCTGGCATATCATTGTACAACCAGGAAAACACGCCTTAAAATATGAACAAATGTTGGATCAATGCATCCCTAGTTCTTTCATCAGCGTGAATGCTTATCATGGTTTCTTGGACCTCTTCCGAGCTACCCAAATTAGCTGGCTCAGTTTCATTTAAGTTTGGTTTAGGCTTATTGTCAAATTGTTCCAGTTCTCGATTTATTTCCCTAAAATCCTCATCTTCATCATATCCTTGTTCTTGATTCATTATTTCATAGTTAGACAGCGTGTTAGGATCTGGGCATGAAGTTTGCAAGCATGTCATGTTATTTAAGTCCGCATTATTAGAACTGAAAAAGAGAAATAAGAAAAATAACAAAAATTAGAAAGAATACAGAGAGAGATACATAGACGATGAAATATTGATTTTATTTTATTGAATTTGAAGATAGAAGGGTTTACATTGGAATTTAAAAGACAATAAACTAAAAACATTCTAGTTACACCCTGAAATAACTCGGAATGCAGAAAAGATGGCAAGACTGAACTACCAGGATTCCCGCCTGACTAGGAACGGAGTAGCCTTCCAATTTTGAAGTTTGGCACTTGGTCCCATATATTGCACCTCAGCAGTACTTGAGACTTCACCCGGCTGGACCATGTGAGCCTCATATAACATTTGCCTCATTGCTTCACAGATGTCCTCAATTTCTTCGGACGTGAAGGCCTCATCTTCTTCCTCTATGTATCTTGGCTTAACAAACTTTCTGGTGAGATACAGGACCGGCTGAGGCAGAACCCACTCGTCGTTCTTACGTTTATTATCCCATTTCACGTCGACTTCTGTAGCTTGGAAACCAACACCAAAAAAGTTCTCACTGGCGGTCAAAGTGATGGGCTCTGTAATGCCTTGCAAAGATACCCCGAGCCCTTTCCCGGGCTTGTAGCCATGCTTGATCATCTCACTGGAGACCATGATTGACGCGTTTGACAAGAAGGGTTGAGGACACGGGGTTCCTTCCTCACACTGGTATGCGGCCATGATCTTAAAAGCTTGGTAGACTATGTGCTCACTACCTTCCCTGGCCTCCAAACATGGGACGGACGGGTCCCTGTAGATTGATTGCTCATCTTCTCCGTGGACCACGATTTCCTGGTTTTCATGTTCAAACTTAACCATTGGGTGGAGACTAGAGTGTACGGCTCCTGCAGCATGGATCCAAGGCCTTCCTAGGAGAAAATTGTAGGAGGTGTCCATGTCCAAAACCTGAAATGTTACTTCAAAATCCATAGGGCCGATGGTTAGGATCAAATCAATCTCCCCTACCGTGTCCCTCTTGACGCCGTCAAAAGCACGTACACAAACGTTGTTGGGTCTAATCCTCTCGGTCTCAATTTCCATTCTCTGTAAGGTCGAGAGAGGGCAGATGTCAACCCCAGATCCGCCATCCGACATAACTTTTTTCACATAGTAGCCTTCACATTTAACGGTCATATGGAGAGCTTTATTGCGGGTTGCCCCTTCCAGAGGTAAGTCATTTCGACTGAATGAGATCTGGTTGACTTCAAAAAATCATTTCGCCATTCTTTCTAATTGCTCAACTGTGGTCTCGATCGAAATATATGCTTCATTGAGCGTCTTTAACAGCACTTTCTGATGCTTATTCGAGCTTATCAGCAGGGACACAAGTGAGACCTGAGAGGGGGACTTTCTGAGTTGATCAATCACGGCGTAGTCTGAGGTTTTCATCTTTCTAAAGAATTCCTCTTCCTCTTCAGCACTGACTGGCTTTTTAAGTGGAAAACGCTTTTCTTTGGTCTTGTTTAATTCTTCCAAGTTGAGGTACTTTCCAGATGGGTTTGTTTCATTCACTTCCCCCATGATTTCTTTTCCTTTGTACATCATCACTGCTTTGTTGTAGTTTCAGGGGATGGAAGTGGGGTCCTTCATGGGATTCTATGGTGCGCGGCTGATAACCACAGGCTCAATTAGCCTAGGTGAAATTATCGGGCCCCACACCATATAAGTCCTCATTGGTACGTACATCTTTGGTACCTTCAATGTAACATTGTTCTGCTCGAAACATCTTTGGTACCTTCAATGTAACATTGTTCTGCTCGAACCTTTTGGGGGGACTCAACACAAACTGTTCTTTTCTGGGGGCCCTGGGAACATAAAGAACCGCATCTTTAGGAGGTACTGCCCCTGTCTCGGCTTCCACAGCCTTTTCTATGCTTTGAGGAGTGGAGTTGCTCTTCTTCTCATCTTTATCTTGCTTTGTTGCCGCTCTGGGCTTCTTTTCAACATCGGCAATGACAATGATAGCTTTCAATGCTGGGTTGAAGTCTCTGCCCTCACAAATCATCCCAATGACTGGCCCGTTGTTGTGAGCCGACAATGGGTTATGGGTTACATTGGGGACCTCCTCATCCCTCAGCACTACCTATTTTTGCTCTATTAGATTTTCGACCGCCCTTTTAAGGGTCCCACAATTCTCAGTGTCGTGCCCTTCTGCCCCTAAATGATAAGCATATCGGGTACCGGGTCGGTAGGAGGGTGACTCTGGGTTTTGCCTGTTTGGAGGTACGGGCTGCAACAAACCCATTTGGACTAACTTTGGGAAGAGGCTGGAATATGATTCACCGATGGGTGTGAAGTTGGTTTTTCTAGGTGGTTCACAGCATGGGTGTTATATGGAAAATTGTTCTGTGGTGGACGGGGATTATATGGAGCTTGGTGAGTAGGGTTATTTCTGGGAGTGGAGCTCGGTTCTGGTTATAGTGTTATTGCGGCCGTGCATATGGCTGGGCATTCATCACTGCATAAGGCTGAGGAGTCATGGCATATGCCGCATCTTGGTAGTGATAGCAATGTTACAGGGTGATTGAAGAGGAACCAAAGTAACCTCGGGGTTGGCGGGAGTTTCTCAGACTTGAGGCCATCATTTCCACTTCTTCTTTCTTTTTTCGGTTTGTTGCAGCCCCTGACCCGCTCTGGATTGCTTGAGAGGAGGCTCTTATAGCCGACTGGCTCAGGATGCGACCCGTTTTCAAACAATTCTCCACTATTTCCCCAATCTTTATAGCTTCTGCAAATGGCTTGCCCATAGAGGGCATCATGTTCTGGAAGTAACCAGCCTCTTGGGCTTGAAAGAAGACACTGACCATCTCGGTCTCATCAATTGGGGGTTTCACCCTGGCATGTTGTTCACGCTACTTGATGGCTACTCCAGGAAGCTCTCTGAAGACTTCTTTTTGAAATTGGACAAAGAGTTTCGATCTGGAGCTATGTCGACGTTGTACTGGAACTGTCTGACAAAGTCTCGGGCCAAGTCATCCCATATGTGTCAGTGGGAGATGTCTTGGTCCATATACCATTCGGATGCAATTCCGGCTAAACTCTCCCCAAAGTAAGCCATCAAGAGTTCTTCTTTTCCGCCCTCTCCTCTTAACTGATTGCAATATCTTT